TGTGTGTGTGTGTTCATATACCAAATGCCAAAACTTTTACCATGTTTCGTACCATTCCGATAAAGTAATAAAAAAAAAACATTTCTGGTCAAAATTGACTGAACAGCACCAGAGGGTTAAAAAGCTGAACAGTATATTAACTGTGAAGCCAGTCACTGTGAATACCAATTTTTGAAAAGCATATATTTTGAATAACTTAACAAGGCATACATAGTTAAATCCAATAACACATTGTAATGGGACATTCTGTATATAGTACTGAACAGAGGAATGGATGGTGGCTTTGGCAAAGTGAATAGAGATGTTCTGTAGAGTCCAGAGCAGCAATTGTTTCAGTTTATAAAACTTCACATAGGAAGTCTCAATCTAAATAGTGTGAGTACGTGAGCTCAGATGTTTAGCTGAGCTGAGATTGGAGGATGACAGAGTTACTGCGTCCTCCAATCAGAGGTCAGATCTCGCTCGAGAGAAAAAACGCACTGGCTATTTCAGAGCAATTTCCCAATGCAATCTCAATTAAGCCTTTAAATACTTCCTTAGCTAATTAAGTCAACTGAACCGCCATTGTACACAAGCCTTCGCAGACAAATCTGTGGGCTTGGCCAAACTCTCTCATAATGAAACAGGAGTAGTTTAAAAAAAAAAGAGGAGGAGGAAATTACGAGTGTCGTATATTGTAAGTAATTTGGGGAACACATGATGTAACACAATTGGTTATTTTATCAAACCAGCTATCAAGCAAACCGTCCTGTTATTCATTTAAAGTGATTGACAAAATCCTGCAACTCGACTCCATCGGCAATTTAAATGCACGGTCTGCTTTTGCTCAGCTTTCATTAGGAATATTGGCAATTATTCAATAGCAGGGCATGTTAACGATCGCCAAAACATTTCCTTTTAGACGTTTGGTTTCTGGCAGGCAAAAAACAAGTCAGTATATGACAACAAAATAAGCTTTGATTACTGAACTGGTCCAATTTGATCTGACTCGAGCTCTGAGTACTGAATCACAAACACAAACAGCATTTTACAATCTAGTGTTGTTCAACATTAAATACGCATACGGCAGACTAATAGGCACTAGAGAGGTCAAGGACGGAGGTTCTGGGGTCTTTCGTTTGCTCTGTATTGTGCAGCGACGCCTCGCTCTGTCATGAGCGGGTAATTAGTCTTGACATGTTACAGGCCCTCATCTACAATAATCAGAACCACCGCTGCACGTTTCCCCGCACGCCACTTTAGGGGCATTTTCTGTTATTACGGCATGATTGTCATAAAGCACTGGATGAGCCCAGCGGCCTAAACGCACACAGATCGGGCTGCGGAGGCTGCGTTACGCTGCTAACGCCTCGCGTCAGATGCTTCAGAGCATAAATGAGCGTGATTACGACTCCTCTCAGGGGCCCCGGCCCTCCTGATGCCAACAGCTGCCAATCGGCTTGATATAATGCTCTCCTAAATGTGCAGGCTTCTCTCTGAATGTCTTTGGAGAAAGGTAATAATACGGCATCGACATGCATCATAGTTTTACCATTTAAATCGCAGAGTTTGATCATTTATTCCACATCAATGGCTCTCTGTTGGTTTTGTTTGAGGACTCTGTGGCCACCAAAATCATATGAAGGTCAAAAGGGTTTGTCGTCTCTTAAAAAAACTGATCTAATTGATCTAAAAACTGATCTATTGATTTTGATCACAACTCAAGTGCTCTGAGACACAACAGATGGGAGTTAGATTTCTTTGAAGGGTTTTGCTTGAGTTCATCATCGCAATGGCTCTGATAGAGGCGTTTCTGCAGGTTTAATGAAAATTTAACACTTTTTTAAGAGCAAATTTAAGTAATAAATTGAATGGAACACAATATGGTCTCTGAATGCAAATGTCTTGAATTATTAATGCTTCAAAGTTTGAAAACACAACTTCCAAAATATCTTTATTACTTTTTAATTAATTTTACAAAAGACTTAAAGGTGACATATCATGAAAATCTGACTTTTCCAGGTTGTAAGTGCTATAATCAGGTCCCCGGTGCATCTACCAACCAAGGAAACGTGAAAAAGATGAACCCAGTAACTTTGTTTTGGGAAGCCTTTTTCTGCAAGCGTCTGAGAAAACCAGCGCGTCTGATTTCTCTCTCCTAGTGACGTTGCAAAGGGATCTCATTATAATATTACTGCCCCTTAATCTGTACGTTTAGTTTACACCCACGGCACCAACATTGTGTTTTCGCAAGAGACAGCGGTGTACTAGTTCTAATGCTATGGTGAAAGTTTGAGCAGAACATGCTAACTGTTCTGTGTTTGTCTGCACAGACGAGCACAGAACACTGTTTAGAGTCCCAGCCTCAGAGGAGACAACAGAGCAGTGCATTTATTGATTTATTTACTGTATATTGCTGCTGCCACACAGATCTAAAATAAACAAAGCAGATTTAGTGGCGGGGAGCAGCAGCTCATTTACATTTAAAGACACAGGCCCGAAAAACAGCTGTTTCTGCTTCCACTCAAAATAGGCATTTTCAAAATGATATAATAAATGATCTGTGGAGTATTTTGAGCTGAAACTTCACAGACACATTCTGGGGACACCAGAGACTTATATTACATATTGTAAAAAGGGGCATAATATGTCTCCTTTAAATTGCTCGTCACAAACTCTAGAATATGGAAATAACTTCTGATCACACTGCAAAAAAGTTATGTTTTTCTAACATGTAATCTAAAGATCATTCACTGCAGAAACAAAATGGCATAGATAACATATTAAGTCTTGTTTTATGAGAAACTCATGAAAGTTAAGTGAGTTTATGATTAAAAGAACACATATCTGGCAAGGGATTATCAACATAATTGATTTTTTCATTTACCATTGAAAGATGTTTGTTCTTCAAACAAAAAAACTCACTTAATTTTGTAATTTAATTTGTGAATTAAGACTTTTTAAGACCCACAGAAACCCTGAAGTAGCCATCTAAAGTCCAGGACGATGAAGGACGATGAAGGACGCCGAGAACGAAATACACGCAAAAGAGAGAACGAGAACGACTGAGATGGGCAAATGGAAAAAAGTGAGGTCAATATTACAAGGGAAACATTTCCATTGTGGAAATGGGAAAAACTAATTCCAAACAAAGTGAACAAAAGACAGCGTGAAAGAGAAACAGAGAGACTGATGGGATAGTTAGTGGTTTTCTGAGGCACATGAAACATTTTAACCAATCTGATTGTTTGTGAAAGAAATCATTTTGATCAAAACTTAAATTGCTGCCAAGAACAGCTCTGCTGTGGCTCACGGTAATACAGACTAAACAGTGCCGTATCTGTTAGGAGCACAGAAGAACTGCTTTCTGTTAATACATATGTGTACTATTTGTAAGCAGTCCAGCTGCAATTGCTTTGGCAATA